CCCCCCTTATCTTAGTAAAATGTCTTATATTTCATCACTTATTTCATAGAAAATGCAAGCAGTTATTTCCATTTACTTATGCTTCTGGTAAACCATTTCCAAAGTGTTCACTTTCTCTGCATCTTGAGGACTCTGTACTTCCTTTATGCAGCATAATCTTTTCAAAAGGATACTTTGTCTTATATTTACTCATTCTAAGCCTTGTGTATGCTTTACTAACCAGATGTATGGATTTTCTTTGGTTCTTCTCATTACCTGCCTTATTTCTATTAGTTTCTTGACCTGAGAGACAAGTAGACATGCATACATCTCAGTTAAATTTAGGCCTGAAGCTGATATTTATCAATTTTGTCACTATTGGTTTTGGCCTATAGTGGTATCTCTCACCTTTATTGCCTAGTTGTTTTACTATGAAGAGAAGAATTTCTGGTTAATCAGAAATAATCATTGCTCTTTTCCTTGATAGGAGCCATATGTGAATAATAAAACTCCTAGTGAGAGTCAAACACACAGCTGTCTGCCCAGCCCCTTTTGTTATTGGCCTTGCATATCCTTAAATACAGAATATCACATCTATCAACTCCCACTGAAATTATGTTGGTGTATTTCAAACCACAGGTCCAAAATGGATAATAGAGAGAAATACTAATGGGGGACACTGGGGCAAGGAGGTGTAAAATATTACTTGTAGGTAATGCATAGTAGTGGGGTTACTGTCCATTTCATTAGAAGGTATCATGAGGCAGATAGTTTTCTTACTATCCTTCAGGCCAGCAGATTTGATCACCTTCAAACAACAAAGTTCAAGTCCATTTCAGCCTCACTGTTGTTACAAACAGTGAAAATCCTGTCAAATTTCATCACTAGTTTTCTTGTCAGCAGGGTTACAGCCATTCTTTTGATGACCTTTTGTAACAGGAAAAGGCACCCCTCTGCGGAATATTCAAGCCCAAGGGGGCAAGGCTGGCAAGTGAGCACCTCTTATAGCTGGATGCCCTGTCCAGGGTACAGCCTGCTCAGCCATACACACTGAGCCTGGTCATCAATCCTACCTTTCGATGCTATTATGAGTTCTCATATTTTTCTGATTTTTCATCAGGCATTTAGTTTAGGGAATCTGAGACACAAACAGCTAGTCCAGATGTCAGCCTAAATCAGAAGTCAACCAGATTCTATTAATAGTGATATTTCACATCAAAGATTTGAGTGAGATCATTGATGCATACCTGACATTCCAAGTTATAGTGTTTATATTGGCAGCTTTCCTTATCCCAAGATTTGTATTCAGAATTCTCAATAAAATATTAAGCAGTTTTGAAAATAGGTCCTAAAATATTTTTAATAAGCCTGCAGCTCTCATTTTCATCCTACTCTACCTCCACAGTACTGCTTGTTAACCTAAGGTATGTAGAAGTATGAGTAAAGAAAAATTGGAGTAAAATGATATCATTAATTTAAAAATAATTTTAAAAAGATTTCCTCAAATAAATGTCTTAACTCAATCCATACTCTTAACAAAATATACTATATGTCAATTCTAAAAACTTCATCATCATTCTAGAAAAAGGAAAATGTTTGATGCTATTTTAGCATAAAATTTATCCATCTACCCCAGCATTCATACATGTTTCACACACTGAAGAAGTATGCAACCACTTTTCTACATAACTACAACATCATGGGAGTAGAAAGAGAGAAATATATACATTTAATAAATGTGTATGTTTAATTTTTTCTTCCTTATTCAAAGTTTTTAGCACTTCCATATTTTAAATTTGTATGCATTCAGTTTTAGATTCTAAGTGTATTGTTAAATTCTACTACTTTAATTAGAAATCACCAAGCATCTCCTTCAATATTCTCCAAACCAGTGCTAGATAAGTCGGACTTCATTAAAATTAAAATTTCCTGCTCTCCCTAAGACATTGTCAAGAGAATGAAAAGCCAAACCACAGACTGGGAGAAAATATTTGCAAAAGATGCATCTGATTTTCTGGAATAAACAAAGAACACTTAAAATTCAACAATAAGAAAACACAAACAACCTAATTTTGAAGTGGACCAAAAACCTTAACAGATATTTCACTAAAGAAGATATACAGATGGCAAATAACCATATGAAAAGGTGCTCCACATCATATGTTACCTGGGAAATAAAAATAAAAACACAATGAAATACCACTACATACATATTAAAATGGCCAAAACATGGAACAGTGACACCACCAAATACTAATAAGAACATAGAGCAACAGAAACTCTCGTTCATTGCCAGTAGGAATGTTAAATGGCACGGCCACTTTGGAAGACAATTTGGCAGCTTCTTATAAAACCAAACATATTCTTATCATACAATCCAACAATCATGCTCCTTGGTACTTACCCAAAGAGGTTAAATATTTATGTTCGCGCAATAATCTGAACACTAATGTTTATAGCAGCTTTACTCATAATTGCCAAAACTGGGAAGTGACCAAGGTGTCCTTTAGTAGGTGAGCAGATAAACTGTGGTACATCCAGAGAATGAGATATTCTTCAGTGCTAAAAAGAAATGAGCCATTAAGCCATAAAAAAAAAAAAAAGAAAGAAAGAAATGGAGGAAACGAAATGCATAATACTCAATGAAAGAAGACAATATGAAAAGGCTACATATTGTATGATTCCAACTATGTGACATTCTGGAAAAGGCAAAACTGTGGAGACAGTGAAAAGATCAATGATTGCCAGAGATAGGTAGAGCACAGAGAAATTTAATAAAAGGCTACATATTGTATGATTCCAGCTATGTGACATTCTGGAAAGGGCAAAACTGTGGAGACAGTAAAAAGATCAGTGATTGCCAGAGATAGGTAGAGCACAGAGAAATTTTAGGGTAGTGAAGCCACTCTAGTACAGAATAATATTATAATAATGGATATATGTCATTACACATCTGTCCAAACCTACGCAATATATATATACGTACACACTAAGAGTGAACCTTAATGTAAATTATGGACTTGCAATATATATATATATATACGTACACACTAAGAGCGAACCTTAATGTAAATTATGGACTTTGAATGGCAATGATATGTAAATGTAGGTTCATCATTTGTGACAAATGTACCACTTTGGTGGGAGATGTTGATAATAAAAGAGATTTATTCATGTGTTGATGAAAGGGAGTATATGGGAAATCGCTGTACTCTAAAAAATAAATTCTTGTTTTTGTTTTTGTTTTTTTACACCTACAGCACCTGGTATTCCTAGGTGGTCTCCCATCCAAGCACTAAGTACTAACCAGGCCCGACCCTGCTTAGCTTCTGAGATCAGACGAGATTAAAAAGTAAATTCTTTAAGAAAACAGTTTTGTGTTATCACATTTAACTCAACTATCACAAGAAAATTGTTCAACTGGTCACACTGTTATATTCAAAAAGTTTGTTTGTTAAAAAAAAAGTTTTTAAAACTATGTTTGGCTTTGGCTTTTAAAAATAAGTCCAATATTTTAAAACACACTGCAACTTGGCAAGTATGTAAATCCTTGAATTTATCAGCTTAAGGGAAAAAGTGCAAATGTCCATGGTTCAGAAGCATAATTGGGGCAGCCAGAACCTGATCCTCCTGCTCTAATAGAGAAAAGAAAAGATCACAAGATGCTGGAATCCCTTCGGGAAATAGCAGCTTCTAAGTTAATGGACCATATGACCAGTAAAGAAAAGCAGCTCAATAACTCCAGACCTAGGCTTGAACATTTCAGAATGAATAAAATATCATGGGCTGAAGATCTTCTTCAGGCACATCTTGGCCAAGATCACAGGGACAGGAGAATTCTCAACTTAGGAAATTTCATCAAGTCTATGGATATACAGTTATTTTCTAGCGCAGGCTCTGTCTGACAAAAATATGGTCTTTTATTCATGGTCATTTTAATTTTGCCTATCAAATTGCTGCTTCAACGAATTTAGTATGCTTATTGTTGACTGTGAGGTCTTTTCAAAACGCCACTAACCTATGTCAAATATGTGCAAAAGCAGTGAGAGTTTAAAAAATATTTTTAAGTAATAGGTCATCGCCATGGAAGATTCTGGGAGTGCGACATGCATTCAGCCAGGTACACTCATGCTCCACTCAATGTGAAGAGTCCCTGCCTTCACTGTTCTCAGAAAGCTTTCACATGTGCTATGGATTTGACTGCTCTCTTTTCCTGAAGGAAATCCCAGGAAAAACTTTGGTCGTGGGAAGGAGCCAGCATAATATGAGTGACTTGGGACAATATCGTTCAGTTGCAGAGCCTTCTAAACTTTACCACGTGCTTTTGCTTACATTACCGGATTGATCTATCAAGTGAAGTATGTTGTCATTGTCCTCATTTGTCATAGAAAATTAAGGTTCATTAGGTTAAGCAACTTGCCTTTAGCTTAGATACAGCAGGTATCAGAGCTAAAACTGGGAGTATAGTCACTTTTCTTGAGTTGTCTAAAATTTCTATCTTGGAGAATATTAAGCATGGCTAGGAAATGGAAAAATGGGGAGGTCTCAATTCTTGGGAAATTTTCTAATAAAGGTCTTGCTTTTTCCAACTATTCAACTTTGGCAAATTCATTTAGTGAAAGGAGTTACTAGTTGGGGAAAAATCCAATGGGTGTGTGTGGGGCGGGGGTTTCTCATAGTAGGGCCTTAATCACCTTAATCACTTTCGCAGACGGATCTGTTGAAAATACGGGGTACTGGGCTTTCACCCAGTTGCTCTGAACGCCAGGAATCTCTAGGAGTGAGTTGGTAGAATCTACACTTTCAACAAGTCGTTAGGTGTCCGCTAACTACCATAAAGGATGATGTTAGACCTGTTACTTACTGTTTGACAAAAATCTAGCTAAGAGCTTCAGGTGACCTTTAAATTTGACATTTGACGCCTTTCAGTGGCTGTTTACCCGGCGAGGTGGGGCGGGGCTTCGTCGAGAAGGGCGGGAGGGGCGCGGCCGGGCCGGGCGGGGTGTAGGGTGATGGCTTAATGGCACCGCGCGCAGGCGCTGCCCTCTGAACTGGAACGGAAAACAACTTCCGGTTGGAGTCACTCGGCCAGGCGCCGCGGACACGAAGCGTAAGCGATTGGCGCGGAATCCCCAAACTGTGAGTAAGAAACTTCGTGAGCGAGTTGGTGTGTCCCTCCCGTCGAGCATGGCGACGGAGAACTTGTGTGTGTGAGTGAGAGGGATGCGAAGGCAGTATGGGAGCCGCAGGGAGAGAAGCCGAGTTGCTGCGGAGACCACCGGTTCTCAGAATGAGGAGGGACCGTGCGAGAGAAACCACCGGGGTCAGCGTCTCGGAGCGGACCCAGGAGGGGCTTTCCGGGCCCGCGACGTCAGCGTCGCAACGACGTCCCCCGCCGCAACGTTCAAGGGGGAGGGGGTTTCTGCCCCACGCTGATTTGACTTCGCTGGGAAACCGGGGAGGCAGGGCTTGCGATGTCAGGGCGAGCAGTGGGCCCCGCCAGCGTGTCGCAGGCGTCTTTCGGGTTAGGGGCTGCCTTCCAGAAGCTTTCAAAAACTTAATAGGTTCTTTCTGTTGTTTTTCCCAAGGTTGTTGCACAGTTCTCTCTGCTTTCCTGTGGGGTGTCATCATAGCCTTGTCGATGAGAAGTTGGGTAACTTCCCCGAGGGTCACGGAGGTAATGGGTGGCCGAGGCGGAAAGAGCAAAAGCAAACCCTGCCCCTAGTGGGAACCCAGGCAGTAGGTAAAGTCCCCACCCCTGTGTAAACTGATTAGCAACGAGTTACAAGTGTAAAAAGCTGTGCTTGTCAAGAGCTGAGGATACTCAAACGAAAGAGTAGTACTTTGTGAAATACATCGCAGATATTTTCAAAAACTACCAGTCTTTTGGTTTAAAATGTCCAGGTTTTGTATTGCTAAAGGTAGTCCCCACTCAAAAATTATGAAAATATTTTCCTATATTGTCTGTTAATCCTTTTTATAGTGTTTTTATGCTTTACTCATTAAAACATCTGAAATTTATTTTTGTACATCGTTTAAGGTAGGGATTTAGCCGTTTCTCTTGAAATCAATTCCTTCCCAACTAGAAATACTACCTTAAAGTAGGAAATTTTTATGTGTACATGGGTCTTTTTTTTTTTTTCTATTGCTTCGTTCTTTTTACAAATACTAATCTCTTTGATTATGGCATTTTTTTAGTAACTCATAAAGCAAGTCGCTCTTCATTTGTCTTTTTCGAAGTTTTCTAGAATATTCATTCTCTTTAAGGTAAAATTTAAAGTAAACTCTTCATCTTTCAATAAAGTAATCTTTTGGGATTTTAGCTATTATGTATTTTCCAATAAATTTTATTTCTCAAAAAAGTGTCTTTACTATTTCTAGCTTACTAGGATTTTTGCAGAGAATGGATTTTGAATTGTATCCAAAGTCCTTTTTTTTTTTTTAATCTGTTTGCATTGGCTAGTGTTGACTGTTCATTTGATCTATATATTTCTTGTTCTTAGGACAATCTTCTTAAGTACTCCTTAACTAAACATTTTTATCAGGAATGTATTCGTCGTATGGCTTTTGGCACCCGTCATGACCTAGCATGTGGTGTTCTTCTTTGACCTACTAGGATAGTGAGTTATTTTAGTGGATTTCCAGTTTGTGAACCAAGCTTACACTTGCTCATGGAGTAATATTTAAGCATGTAGGTTCCTTTTTGGTAACATTTTTTTAATCAATAATTGAGTTTCATTTGTAGTCTTTGTGTTATCTTTGTCAAAGTTTGATATCAAGGTTATGCTGGTTTCTGAAGAAGAGCTGCGAAGAGTTCCTTCTTTCTCTGCTCTGAAGTAGTTTAGGTAGCATAAGAGCTCTCTGTCCTTTGAAGATCTGAAAGAATTCACTCATGAAATCATTTTGGCCTGAAAGTACATGGTTCTTAAAACAACAATATTGAGCAGAAAGATCCAGAACTTTAAACAAATCTCTTTTAGAGTAAATTGAAATAAGTGAAAGGGTCTGAAACACAAGTAATGTTAAGAACAAAGGAGAGCTATTGTACTGATCCTGATAGTATTTTTTTTACCCCTTTCCCCCAACCGCACCACTTTTTTTCCCATGGTCAGGGAAAATACTGTACCAGCTGAGGCTGATGATAAAATGTATTGCTGTTCTTTGTCCTCTATTCCAGTTACATTATAAAATAAAGAGTGTTGTTTCTACGTGGATAAGTTCTTCTATGCCCTGAAAGAAACCAGGAGTGAAACTCAACTGGAAAAGCATCAGTTTGTTTGTTGTCATTAGCTTCCCATTTTTGCCTGTAAATTTCTTACGTTAGAGATAATAACCAAGCTGGCATTCTTCTATAGCCAGATCCCATAGAGTGGTTTCAAAATGAATGGGCGAGAAAATACACAAGCTCAGCATGCTTGTACATATTTAAATATGAATTGAGAATCATTGGCACAGTGCAGATATGTATGTGTTATGTAGGCAGGTATATGTGTGTTGTGTGCTTTATATGTATACACACATATAAAACAGAGCTGGTCTCTAAGGAATACAGTCTCACCAAAGCCCACCTTTTTACTCCACTAATAGTTTACTGTTAATATGTGGATAATAGTGTATTATGTAATCTTATATAAAATTACGTTATTAACTTATATAAAAGATGATTTAAATAACGTTGACACTATCAAGAAAATGACCTTAGGCAGGTAATGTAATTTAGCAATGTAGATCTGTGAACTATGAAGGATACTTCAAGATCCTCATAAGTGTAATTTACAGAGGGATGCAGTCATTATGTGAATGCTTAGATATTTGAGTATTTTAATTGATCTTCTGTTAATTTAGAAAAAAATAATTATTGACATGATTTGAGGGAGTGCCCTATGATGAAGAAAGATTGCATGTTTCTAGAAAAAAATAATTATTGACATGATTTGGGGGAGTGCCCTATGATGAAGAAAGATTGCATGTTTCTTTAAAACCATACCCATTATCCAAAAGTAAATGATAAATAAAAATAGTCTATTGATGCAAAACTTCACTATTCTAATATTCTGGTGTGAGGCTTTAGCTGTTACTACTATGTATCTGTTTTGTTTTCTAATACCTTATAAGCATGAATATTACTGTTTCATTTCAGCTCCTTTATGTTTAATTATATCAAGCCAAGTTTTAGTCTCTGTTTCCTCTAGGATTTATGCAGTGGCTCCCATTTCCCCCCTGACATCTTGTAGGCATGCTTCTATGATTTTC